TATACCGGACCCAATACCTTCAGACCACTACCATATTTGAACAATGGCCCAATAGTACCACTACTTTTAGAACATTAGAAAGTATACGAAAGTGACTTTAGTGGGCACTATTCTATTTCAACGGACCTCTTTCCTCTATAGGCACGTCATCTTGAGAGGAGTAACTTACCTTCTAATTGAACAAATGGCCCATCACTACTACCTTGAAAAAAATTCAAGGAGTTGATCTATTGGTCGTACTCTTTCACTTGACGGACATTTTCATCTTGCAGGCCCAACCTACAGACGACCATCTAAGAAAGGCCAAGTGCCCTTCTGAATAACTTTTACAATCAACAGTCAAAAAACATAACTTCCAATATATGGAAAATAATGTCCACTTAGTGGAGGGAAATAAAATCACCACTATAACACAATATGGTATTGTGTGGCCCATTACTACTACCTTGATAAAAATTCAAGCAGTTGATCTATTGGCTGTACTCTTTCATTTGACAGACATTTTCATCCTGCAGGCCCGACCTACAGACGACCATCTAAGAAAGGCCAAGTGCCCTTCTGAATAACTCTTCCAATCAATAGTCAACATTCTTAAGAAAACATAACTTCCAATATTTGAAAAATAAAGTCCACTTAGTAAAATAAAATCACCACTGTAACATAATATGGTATTGTGTTGCTTAATATTTCTTTGGTACACAGCAACACATGGTTTTACGTGTTACTTCACCCATGACAAAGCCATTTAGATCATTTCATGTAACGATTTTCTTTCATCCAGCCTTATTTAAATTAATTTAACATAGCTTTGATAATTTAATGAGAAAGCCGATGTAGAAAAGTCCGGCTAAATATATGAACGCATTAGAGACACTTAATTAGCATAAAAGAGCATTAAAGATGGTACAGTCTTGTATCAAATGTCGTTGAAATCGGTGGTAAAATGGGTCAGGATTTAAGAGGCGAGGTTAAAGAAGCTATTAGCAGCCTCACTGAATTTTAACGGAATTGAAAGTGATATAATCAAGGGATGAAAGGCCACCGCAAGTGGCTGGAATGAACGTAAAGCCTCGCTCAACAGAAATTCAAAGGTGAAATTTCCAGAAACGAAATACAGAATCTTATTCAACCCACTAAACAAAACGAAGCCAGAGTCGAGAATCATTAAAGGAAAGCATGAATCGGGCTAAAGATAAGGATGAATAGCTGAAATCCCTGTTAACAAAATCTAGTTACAGTGCGACCTATTAATTAAATTTGTTTATAGTCATTGTATTTTAAGAAACTTAACTTGGCTGTAAAATTACAAAAGGCATAAAACAATTCTGACCCATAAAACAAAGATCAAATGAAACTTCATTATACAAGATTACTTGTATATTCAAAGGGGTGTTATTGTGATAAACAGGCATATAAAATATTTAAATATGTTCGATCTCTAGTGATCGTTAATCTCTATTTTGTGATAACTGAAAAATTTGTTTGAAAAAAAGCTGAGAGGGAGAGTAGGCGGACCAGAGAAGACGGCCCCAGATCAAACCACCGAGAAAACAAATCCGCTTAACGATAAACTAATTGAGTTGTCGCACCGTCTCGCTGGGAACGTTGCCATTAATAACAGGCCAGCTCTAAGTGGTCAAGGCTTATTAATTTCCTGATTTTTATTGTAAGAGGAGTTGATTTTGTATTCATGGAGCTGCGACGACTAATTAGGCACCTCCTAACCAGGCTTTCACCTCGTGCTAAGGGAGCTGTCAAGATTTGTCATGCTCCGGGCCCATTTGTAAAACTGCATGACGCCTATTTACATATTCGTTTATACGCTTTCTCGTTCCACTTGATTCTGGGGCATTTGTACTATTGTTCTCACAGGATGGACGGTTTTCTGGACCATTTGTCCACTGGGTTTTTCTCGTTTTGTACTTTAGAACATTTTAGAAGATACTTGTCTCGATTTATTCCGACTTATGTCTTCTTATGTGAATCGTAACACTTCTAGATTGAATTCATCTACTACGATCCAGATTCAATCCACTATGCCCCCAGGGCTCCATCCTAGGACCACTTGTATGGATAATAGCCTTTGATGGAATATTGGAGAAAATGCAAACCTACCAAATAAGTGCAACTGCATTCATGGATGATGGAAACAGCGTAAGGGAAATAAAGGAAAGATGCGAAGAAGCTATAAAGATAGTCCATAATTGGTGCCAACAACAAAAGCTTCAAGTATCACAGGAAAAAACCAAAGTTCAATTCTTAAAAGGAAAAGTAGCACCCTCGAATAACCCAAAAATTAGCCTCAACGGGAAGACAATAAAAGTGAAAAAAAACGTAACATACTTAGGAGTAGTGACCAGTAACAGTTTCAACCCTAGCAGCCATATTGAGAACATCCGGAAAAAATTAGAAGGAAAACAAAATTACCTGGCTAACTTAGCAAAAGCTACTTGGGGGCTAACATTTGAAAGCACAAAAATATTATAGAAATTGTAAACCTTTCAATACTATGTTATGCAGCACCAGCTTGGGCTACAAAATTAAAAAAAACCCAAGTCAATAAATTATTAACCATACAAAGAGGTGCACTAAAATGGCTATGTAAAGGGTATCGAACTACGTCAACAGACGCAATTTAAGTTAAAACAGGGCAGATACCAATTGACTTAAAACTCCTTAAAAGAATAGAGATTCACAAATTAAGGAAAACAACATGGAATAATTATAGTGAAAAAATTACAGAATTAGAAAACGAAATTATAACAAAATGGCAAGCAAGATTGAGTGCAAGCATAAAAGGGCGAACTACTTATAAATTCTTGCCATGCATTAAATCAAGAATCAAAAACGGGAATTTTATTCAACCAAATTATATTACTACCCAGTTTTTAACAGGGCATGGAGAATTTAATAAATATTTATATAATTACAAGTTAAAAAACACCAATTTATGCCAATGTGGGGATATAGAAAGTGCTGAACATATTGTGACGAAATGCGAAATTTATAACCATAAAAGAAGAATACTAGAAATGCAAAATAAAAACAAAAATAGATGATGAAAGTAAATTGGTAGAACTGACAAAGAACAAACACAATTATAAAGAGTTTATAAGTTTATAAATTGTGTCTATGAAAAAAACAAAAAAAACAACACAGTTCACAAAATCAAAATGAAAATCATCGATAATAAAAAATTCCCACAAGGGCTTTTAATTTTATGTATGTAAATAAAGAACTTTAATGTACAAATTTAATTACTCTTAGTGAACTGTTTGTGTAAATTATGAATGTATATAGTTAAATTATTTAATTAAAATGGTAGTTTAAAAAAAATGTTTATGGTTTAATCATGTACTTAAACTGGTAGTATTACTTAATACTAGTAATATTTTTTAGTTAAGTTTGTTATTCATATGTTTTTATGATCCCTATGTTAATTCCCTAGTCAAGTAGTCATTTTATTAATAACTGTATATGTACATAATCGAATTATTTAAATGAAATGTCTTGTTTTTTATGTTATATATGTACATAGTTAAATTATATATTTGAGAAGTTATATTTAAAGTTATAAATGTATTTAGTCCGTTAAGGTTATTTAAGCTAGCACGTTTTAGTAAATTTAGTTATTTATTTTGTTTTCATTTCTCATGTTTATATAAGTATACAATTGAATTATTTATATGAAATATCTAGTCTAAGTTATAATGTGTGTATTTAAATAATTTATATGAAATGTTTGTTTAGATTTATAAAGGTGTATAGTCGAACGGGTTTATTTAAGCTAGTAATATCTATTTAACAATCTTTTTATTTAATTGTTTCATTGTGCTCATGTTTTTATTACTACTAGTCAAAATAGTCTATTTATATTGTTTAGAAATGTTCTAACCGCCAAAAATTCTCTTTAAAAATTGTTGTATAAAACCTCTCAGGGAAAAAAATCCCTGTAAAACCAGATCGCAGCGCAGCGGTCCATCCCGGAAACGTTATAATATAATTATAATTACAATTAATTAAGATTTTTTTAGTTGAGATGAAAAAAAGTTAATGGCACGAGAGGGATTCGAACTCACGACCTTCGGCTAGATACGCCGCTGCTCTACCACCTTAGCTATCGTGACCTCGATCCACTCGGACACTAACTTCCCATCTCAACCCCACCTTATGAGTTTCTCTCCTTTTGCCATTTTTCAAATGCCGTGTAATCGGTTTGGATTCTCGACAATTGAAATGGCTTGGTTAGTGAAGTGTACTTCAGTTGATTCATTAAATTCACTAATTTCGTGGTCCGCTTGACCAATTAAACATTACAATTAATTAAGGTTTTTTTTAGTTGAGATGAAAAAAAGTTAATGGCACGAGGTCACGATAGCTCAGGTGGTAGAGCAGCGGCGTCTCTAGCCGAAGGTCGTGAGTTCGAATCCCTCTCGTGCCATTAACTTTTTTTCATCTCAACTAAAAAAACCTTAATTAATTGTAATGCTTAATTGGTCAAGCGGACCACGAAATTAGTGAATATAATTATAATTATAACGGCTAAAGATCTGTGTAAGGGGACCTGTTGTGGTTGAAAAAAAATTGTTAATTTAGAAATTTATTAAAACAAATAAAAAAATAAAATAAAAGGAAACGCTGTAAGAGGTTTACACCGAAAAAAAAGCAAAAATCAAATAACAAAATCAAAGAAGATTCAATCCACTTTGGTTTTGACACGGTGACTTCGGACACTCATGAACATCAATGGTCAACATATGTCATAAGGACTTGTTAGTTTTAATTATATGTGTGATTTTGTTAAGAACAATTTATTGTATGTTGTTTGTTGTAAAACGTTTTCCAATGAAAAGCAAAAAATAGCAAACTCAATCAGATTAGCCAAAATGATTACATCAATTACAACATAGTACACTAACATGGGACTTTGAGTTACATCAGAATTTTTCTGCGTTCTCATTTATTTTTTTTTTCAGTTTTGAAATTCGTGTTATACTTACTTGTTGCTCTTGATTTTAGGACATTTGCAAGCCAAATCGTTCGAGTGGACCCAAATGTTGAGCCCTCCTCTTCTAAGCCCCGAATCCCTTCCTCGTTTGTACACAGACTGCACCGCAGTGTTGAATCTTGCCCAGTCGTCGATCGTCTCCCTTTCCAAAACCATTGCCAAAATCGCTGCGGAACAAGAGACAAATCAATTTTTCTAGGAATAAACACAACGTACAATAACCCAAGTCGAACAGTCAATACCGTAATCCCTTTTGCAGTATTTGTTCATGTTGAGCCGTCTCGTCCCAGCCCTGCACTTGCCGCACTGGCCTGTAAAAGAAACAGTTTATTGGTGACCAAATGATAAACTTGTTGGAAAGGAGAATGGGGTTTGCTCTAAGAAGAAATTGCCCAAGTTGGCAAAGTCAAGCTTATCTTGTAGACCAAGGTCAGTTGTTTACTCCGTCGGACAATATACCAGGCCATTGTGTACACGAACTACAAGGTCCGCACTGTTTGCCAGCCTAGACCGTGGCCAAGTTCAGAAAATGCCTTAATTAATTTCAGCTTAAGATGATAACTACCCTGATCAAATTGCCGGCGTTTACATGGATTAGGCAAATTTGAAATCATAGAAGCAAAGACGATATTATAATTTCAATATTTAAGAGGCCCTTAATTGTAAGCTCGATTATATACAGTAAACAATTGTTTAAATTTTCCGGGTATTTTATTGTACAATTAAACAAATTAAAAACAACTTGTTCCTTCCAAGTTCTACGCAAGTTTTTTATATTTTATATTATTTTTTATTTTTTTATATATATATTTCATCTGGGCAGAACAGATAATAATAGATTGTACACTGAAATTCCTATTGTTAACATCCTGAAATTTGGTTGTGCATACTTACGTTTTTCGAATGATTTAAGTAACAGTTTTGCTAAAGGAAAGAACTTCACTGGGGAGGAACCAGAGATGAATCATGTAAATCCAACACTCCGCTACATCGTGTAAATTTCAGAAATTATATTTTATACTAAACATGTGCATTTTACATAAATCCCGATGATGTAAAAGTCTGATCTCAGGTTTGTTGAACCAGGAGTCCCTTTTGTGGTTGACGCTCCCATCAGTCGAAATATCTGGTTCCTCCCCGAGAAACACGGCTGCCTTTAATGCATTTCTTCCGCTCAGTTGGCTCACAATGGAGTTATCGGAGGATTGCTCTCTATCTTCCGAGGGAATTGGAAGGACTCCTGTTCGATATTCCAGGTGGTTCCTCAACCGCGTTACGCCACCCGACTCGATTTTCCGCCGTTGTAACGGCAAAAGGTTTATTTACGACGAGAGGAGGGGAAAAGAAAAGGTTAAAAATTTACGTTGCAGGTTGATATGACCAAGGCAAGGGGATAAGCCGAAGGGGCGAGATCCTATTTATTCCCTTGGTTGGGATGTTAAGACAAATAAGGGTTGTATATTACTGGCTTACATCTTGGGCCACATTTAATATTTATTATGCAATAGTACCCTTCTCTAATAGATATAACCCCTGCCCTAGATTACCAAAAAAGAAGACAAAAAAGTTGATAATAGCTATTTGTTCTCTTAAAATCCTAATATCATTTCTGCCACGAAATACAAAAATACATTTTATTTGGCTCCCGAATACCAAACACTACTAGGCCCTATGGTCTTCTCCGATCATCCTGATTTGCCAGTTCTTGTAGGTCTTAAATTAGTACGGCTCGTGACCATCTAATGGAGTTGTATGTCTGCTTACCTGCCCTTGTTCATTTGTGTGAGTCAGTGTTGTGCAAATCAACTGCTAAAGATGGCGAAAACCTTAAATGCATCTGACATACCTATCTTTTTTAGGCAGATCAAGGTAATCACAAATAACTTCACTACTTTTCTTTAAGAGCCACATTATAAAATAGCATTATATTCTTATGATAATTATAATTATAACTTCTAAAATGCGTAAATCCTTAGGAAGATCATCCTAAGATATTTAGGAAAGTAGGGATGGCAATAGAGTCCATATGGTCGTTCAAATCCGTATACGATTCCCACATATGGAACATGTGGTTATAAATTATATCAACTGAATCATGTTTAATTATAGCTTTCCTTATTTAATTAACTTTTGTCCCAAAAATATTCTAATCTACTAAATTCACTAGCTTCGTGGTCCGCTTGAGCAATCCATATCTTTCAATTAATTAAGGTTTTTAGTTGACATAAAACAATGGCGAAAAGGAGGGAAAATTCAAAAGGTGGGGTTGAGATGGGAAGTTAGTGTCCGAGTGGATCGAAGTCACGATAGCTCAAGTGGTAAAGTAGCGGCATATCTATCCTAAGGTCGTGGGTTCGAATCCCGCTCGTGACACTGACTTTTTATCTCAACTAAAAAATCTTAATTAATTTCTAATCCACGTACTTCTCAGCCAAGTTTGACCAACTTTCTTTTGGTACTTAATGCTACTTGAAGCTCATAAAAGAACGGGTCCTTGCGACAAACAGTGCAATAAATATTTTACATTAAATTAATTAAAAAATATAACATATCAAATTTTTAGTCACCTTTATTTGAGTTTATCGATCGAACTACTATACCATACAGTAACACAGTTAAATATCTGGGAATGACCTTAGATGCCAAGCTGAGATGGAAAGAACACGTGAAGAAAAAAAAGGACAGAAATAGGTTTAAGGTATAGACAACTATACTGGTTGATAGGACGTGGGTCCAATCTTGCTATACAAAATAAAATATTATTATATAAACAAATCATAAAGCCTATGTGGACATATGGTATTCAAGTATGGGGTTGTACCAAACACAGCAATATCAAAATCATATAACACTCCAAAATAAAATCTTACGTAACATGGTCAATGCACCTTGGTACCTAAGGAATAAGGACACAAGGATCTTAAGTTCCCTGAAGTCAAGGTGGAAATACAAAGATTTGCCACCAAACACTAGGCTTGCCTCAGCCAGCACGAGAATGTGGAAGCGACCAAACTCTTACATAACCGAAACATGGTCAGAAAAGGACAAAGTCATATGAACTTGTGTAGTTAAAAATGAATAGTGAATAGTGAAATGTAAATCTTACTCTACAAATGGGTTTATAAGAATGTAAACATTTATTTATTCTAAAATATTATTGTAAAGTTAATGGTTGGTCTAATAAGACCAGTTTTAATAAATAAATTTATTTAAAAAATCTTAATTTTGAGTGATTTTTGTTATTTATTTGTAGCTTTCATCTTTTTTTGCCATAACAACACAGTCGTTTTTTCCATATGTTGACTAGTAAATATTGGCTTCACGAGGGAATTTTGGTTTCAAAGTGCCAGAGCAAATAATACGATCAATAGCAAACTCGATCAGACTTTTCGAAGTAGTCAATACAAGAGCTTAATCTTTCGGTGGAGAAAGGCGGTCGTACGAAGGCTAAATAATAAAAAACACGTCAAGCTAGGTAAGTGGTAACAATTATTATAAAGTAATTTTTGTTCAATGTTTTACTATTTGTCAAGCGAGGTCGATTGGTGAGAATTAGTTTAACTTCCGGGTGAAAGGATCGAAAAACAAAACGGGCCTGATTCCTTTAAAAGGACTTTTCTATTGTTTTAATACACTCTTCTAGATTGACATACTAATTTTATTAGAAATGATGAATGGTGGAGTGAGTGCGGTTTTCAATCCTTTTTAAAAATATAGTTCCTATTAACTAAGTTGTTTTGCAACGATCCGGATTTCGTGCCTTTAGCTCATCATCAGGTTGAAAGAGTTCTACAACCTGATGATGAGCAACGGGCTCGAAATCCGGATCGTTGCAAAACAACTTACTGTGAGTGGGAACTATCTTTTTAAAAAGGATTACTAATTTTAACCTGCTATCTGTCTACATATCGATCTCTTTTTTGCATATTATTCGATTTTTGCTCGTTATGTGATAGAACATCCGACAAGGGCTAACTTTGCATAGTAAAATAAAAACACATCATCATTATTATTGTGTATAGAGATTAGTGACCGTTAATCGATAGTTATTCAGATATCGTGAGATGCGGTCAGAGTGCCACTCTCAACACGACACGCAAGGATGGCACAATTACACAGAAGACAAACACTTTGAGCCCTGAAGATGATCTCAATAAAAGATCGAAACGTTGGCACGATAAAGAAAATGTTTTTCTGAAACCTACATCACACCCGAACGCATCTCACGATATCTGAATAACTATCATTATTATTTCTCATTTTCGTTTATCTATCTTTCTCTTTTTCTTCTCTTTCTCCTCACTCTTTTCTCTCTCTCGCTTTCTCTCTTTCCGCTTTCGCCCTCGCGTTCACATTATTCCAAGTTAAGTGGTAGGAAGGTCCACGCGACCTAAAGCAGACATGATCTAAAGACATCATCAGCATGTCCACTATTGCCCCGCCACATCACATGTAGAGGGCAAATGTAACTTCATGGGTATTCACGATTTTTGTGTTCACTCTCTTTATTCCGTTAGGTCCTGTTAGATCGAGAAAAATGATGACGTAACTTGTAAAAATCGGCTAGTTAACATTGCTCGATGTAACAAGCCAGGGCCGATGTTAGATGTTAGGTCGAAAATGTAGTCCCGTTAGGGAGTAGGTAACCAACATGGCAGCCACGAATTTAACAGCTGTTTTTTGTTTACACGTATTTTTATTCTTAAATCCGCCTTAATTAAATCAGACCAAATATATCTGTTTTGTTAGTTTCTGACCTGACCTTATACTCTCATTCCTAGTAGGTTTCCCCTATCCTATAAAGTTGTAGGCATTAGCCGTTAGCATACAAGTCGGCACGAATTTGTTAGTTGGCGTCTTTGTTAGTACTTTTATAGTGTATAGATAGTAGTTTGAATGAAAGAGTTGATTAATTTTCCTTTTTTATTAACTTATGGCATCTTACAATGTAATACAAAAGAAAACCAAAGCAAACAACAATAAGCCTTCAATGACTGTTATAGCTTTATTTTTGGTTCCACCACGCGCAGCATTGAGGAAAAATTAACGTTTAACATGCTAAGATACTCACCTCGCTCCACCACCACGCGTGCATACTGAACGACTTATCCTCTGATCATTGTCCAGTCCTCCTAACTATAGACACCTACCCAATCCATATTGCACCCAGAGCAACACTACTAAATGGACCAATAGACTGGAACCTATTCAATGCACACGTAGACAAGAATACAAACTTTATCATATCTTTAAAGACGACAACATCGACTTTGCCATAAAACAGTTAACATCTACAATAACAGACGCCATC